CAAGTGGAATGATGGTTGTTCCTTTCGATAGACATCCGCATTGATCTTTTGTCATTCTTGAGCTTGTTTTAACTGTGCCTTCATCGTTGCATGTAGCTCTGACAAATGAATTGCCAAATCTTTTGCAATAAGATTATCAACTTTTGAAAAGTCAAAAGTATCAAGTCATGGATGATAACCATAATTAATAAAGAAAGGTGTTTGTTTTGTAGAAGAATGTACCATATTATTGTAAGCAAACTCTGCCAATGGCAAAAGAGTTATCCAACCATCTTGTTGGTAGTTAATGAAACATCTTAAATATTGCTCCAAAACTTGATTAACATGCTCCATTTGTCGATCAATTTGAGGATGGAATGCTGAAGCTAGTTTTATATCCACTTTTAGAATCTTAAAAAGAATCCGCCAAAATCTTGATACAAATTGAATTCTCCTATCTGATATAATATCCTTGGATAATCCATGATAATGATAGATATTGTCAAGAAAGAGCTTAGTTGTTTCTTCACCAGTGATAGATTTTGTACATGGTACAAAATGTACCATCTTGGTAAAACGATCTACTATCACAAATATAGAGTCATAAGAACTTGAGATTGGAAGATCCGTGATGAAGTCCATAGAAACAAAAAACCATGGTTATTTTAGAATAGGTAATGGCTAAAGAAGTCCAAAAGATCGATGACGAGGAGTTTTTGATCTTGAGCAAACATCACATGATTGTATAAAATCTTTGACTGCCTTCCACATTTGAGGCCACCAAAAATCCTTAGATATCAACTCCAAAGTCTTATTGTATCCAAAATATCCTGCTGCTGGAAAGTCGTGACAAGCTTGAAGAATACGAAAATGTGCTTCACCTTCTAAAATATATAGGCATCCTTCGAAATAGAGTAGGTTGTTATTGAACTCGAATTTAGAGGGATGATGAGATTTAGAAGAATTATTCTTGATATCATGAACAAGAGGGTCTAAAGACATACTTAATTGGACTTGGTTGAGAAAAGTTAAATCAATAGTGAATGTTGATTTTATTGCTCGAAGATGAAATTACTCCGGCTTCAAGAGAACCATTCTTTGTTACTCAAAAGCTGCATCTCTTTCTTTTGGTGCAAGATAAGAACATCTAGACAAGGCATCGAACAAACCTTATTGTTTTCTTAGCTGATGAGTGATGATGAACTCGAATCTTGATAAAGACATGCTCCAACGAGCTTGACGATGATTTAATATGTGTGCTGATATGTAATACTCAAGGTTCTTGTGATCCGTATATACGGTGACTGAACTGGAAGCGCCTTCTAGATAATGACATCATTCTTCAAAAGAATCCACAATTGCAAGAAGTTCTTTGTGATGGATCTCATAATTGATTTTTGTTGTTGAGAATTTTCTTGAATGAAAGGCTATTCAATGAAGTTTATCATCTGTTCTTATTTGTGACAAAATCGCACCCAAAGCAAAGTCTGATGCATCTATTTTCATAAAGAATTCTTTGAAAAAATCAACACAATACAAGATTGGTGCAGAGACAAATGTTATCTTCAAAAATTCAAAAGAAACTTCTATTTTTTGATTCCATTGGAGTTTGGCTTTACAAGTCAAACGTATAAGTAGAGCTGCAATTTGAGAGAAGTCCTTGATGAAGATCTAATAGAAGTTGGCAAATTCCAAAAAACATTGGACATCTCTTACCGTTTTTGGGATCTTCTAATCTATAATAGTTTGAACTTTGTTAGGATCTATCATAAGTCCATCATTTGAAATGATGTAACCTAAGAAATCGACTTGAATAGTATGGAATATATACTTTTCTATCTTGATATAGACTCTCGCATCTCTTAATTTTTGTAACACATGACGAACATGAAGTTCATGTTCTTCTGGATTCTTAGAATAGATCAAGATGTCGTCTAGATAATAAACCATAAAATTATCCAAAAATTCTCAAAAAACATCATTTATTAGATGTTGAAAAGCTACTGGTGCATTTGTAAGTCCAAAAGGCATGACGTTGTATTCAAAATATCCATACCTAATTCGAAACATAGTCTTCCATTCATCTCCTTCTTTGATGCGTACTAGATTATATGCTCCTCGGAGATTTATTTTTGTATAGATCTTAGCTTGATTCAAGTGATTAAGAAGTCCAAATATTAAAGGTAGTGGATACCTATTCTTGATGGTAATCTTGTTGAGACCTTGATAATCAACACACATCCACAATGATCCATCTTTTTTCTTCACAAATAGAATTGGAGCTCCTATTGGAGATTTAGAATGGTAAATGAAATTCTTGGCTAGATTTTCTTCAATATACTCCTTGAATTCAATCAATTCATTTTGTGATAAACTGTAGATTGGTCCGAATGGCAGTTGTGTTCCTTCTTGAAGGTCAATTGAACAGTCATAGGAACGATGTTTTGGGAGTGTATCTGCATTTTTTTTTTCAAATACATCTTAAAATTCTTGATATTGGCTTGGAATGCCACGTGAAGTCTTTGCACCATTAGAAATGGGTGTGGCATAAATAATATATGGTGATTCTTTCATAGCAGCATGCAAGAAAGCTTTTGCACCTATAAACACGAGTTTAATTGAACTGGACTTATGACTCTCTACTTGATTAACTACACTATTAGTTATACTTTTAGAGAAAGTAAGAGTTCGAGAAATCTAATCTATTTGAGGGTTGTATTTTTCTAACCACGATAAATCTAAAATGACTGAATTAGAGGGAGATCTAATGATATTAAATACTACAAAGCTATTATGATCATTGATTATTACTTCTATAGGAAGGATTTTGTGAGTAATATCTCCAGAAGATAATGGACGACCATCTATGACTTCTACATGAACAGGTTTAGTTTTCTTTATTAAAGATATGCTATGTCTTTTAGTAAATTCTTCATCTAAGAAACATGTTGAGGCTCCTGAATCTAACAAGGTAGAGGCTTTGTAATATTTAGGTACTAAAATAACATTTAATGTAAAACAAGGAGAGGGCTCTGAGGAGAGAATAGGACCTTTATTAGATGTTGTGCAAGGTTCCAGCCGCACGGTCTCTATTATAGCTAGACGAACTTGTTTTTTGACATATTGTCTTCTTTGATAGTCATATTTCTCATTTTGTGGTTGCATCGTTTCTTTGGACAATGTTGAGCAGTGTGTTTTGGTTCTCCATAATACAAACATAATTCTTCTTAACGACGACGAGTCTTTCTTGCTCAGTAAGAGGTTTGAAATGTACTACATCAATTTACATATCTTCTACTTCCAAATATATGTGTTGAAGAGGTGTTAGTGTTGCCATTGAATTTTAGTAACGTTGAGGTCCACTTGTACGGTTCTCAGATTGAAATTCAAAAAGGCAATTGTCGCACTTCACAGCAAAGTCAATTGCTTGACTCAATGTTTGAGGATCAGGTAAGTTGAGCATGAATTTTTTTACCTCATATTGTAATCCGTAGAGAAATTGGTTAGTAAGTGCATCATCATCCCACTTGATATCAGTTGCAAGTTATCGAAATTATAAATCATACAACGTTACTGATCGATTGTCTTGTCGTAAAATATAGATCTTATTGATTGCAACACGAATTGCATTATGTTTTCCATATATGGATTGAAACTCAACCAAAAAAGCCTCTAGATTATCCAATATTGGATCTCGTCATTCAAAAAAAGATGAAAACCATGATAATGTTGAACCTGAAAGAAGCGTACCAATGAATCTAACTTGTGATCTTGGAGTTGGATAGCTTTGGGGTTGATGTTCAATCACAAGTTATACTTGATTGATAAATCCTCGAAACTTGGATCTGGTACCATCAAACTTCTCGGGTAGGACAATTCTTGGTTCTCTAACACTAGAAGGGTGTTCCACCATAGGAGAAAGGATATGATTTGGTGCAGATGTTGAAGCAGCTCCAACCATTTCTATATCTTTACTTCCTGCCAATCTTGTTGCTCCTTGTAGTGATAAATTGAGTTGAGGCATCGCAAGCATTAACTCTCTCAATTACTCTTGCATTTGTGCCATTGTACTTTTTATTTCAATAAGTACTACCATGATAATACTTAGAAAAGAGAAGATGTCTAATATCACTCAAGACAAATAGAAGAGAGGACTTAAGAACAAAGAAAATACTAAGGACAATATCAATTTAGAAGAGGGTAATCTGCAACTTCTAATATACTTATATCTTATCAAGAAAAAAGAGTAATCTACTTTTAATCAAGATTAGACAAATCTCTGATATTGTAGGTGTACTCTTGTCAATCTATCAAGGACAAGAACTCGATGAAAAAGTAATTCAGATAAGTGAGCCTTCACTCAAAAAAAGGTAATAAAATATAAATAAACAAGTATGTATATTGAAAGAGAAACTAGAATCGCTATTGCCAAGAGACAAGAAAACTAGAGACTCTTGAAACTAGACTGGAAGCAAGAAAGGATTTGATAAGAGTGAAGAAGGCTTTACTCTTGTCTCTATATATACTATCTAACTAGGGGCTACGTGGCGACCTCCAATATAGGACCTCCAATAAGTGTTGACTTTGTAGGACACATGCCTTGACTTACAAGGCAAGTTTTTTTTACGTGTAGGCCACATTGTTAGCTTGGTCTTCAAGCTAATAACATGTGTGGCACATCGCCAACTTGTTGACCACATTTCTAAAAAGTCAATTAAAGACACTTATAAAGTCAAAGCAGCGTCTATGAAGCTTCCATATCAAATACTATAGAATTAACTTACTTTTATCTACTTTTACTTACTTCTACCTATTTATATATGTAATTACTAGTTTACATGAGTATGTTTGTGACAGGTAATTTCATGTATAGAATATTACCTACTATTTACAAAATAGTCTACTTATCTACTAAGTATTTACGAAGAGTTGTGATTCTTGGTGTCAATCTTCTACACACAATGTATTCTATAACATTAATCATATATTAATACATATAATGTTTCCAAAAGTGGCGATTCTTGAGATTCGGGAGTACTTGAAGTCAAAAAGCTCCCCTTCCTGATAATCAATTCGTGTTTGATAACACTTCCCTTGTATCGAGGTTTTATTTTTCCCACTATCGTTCCTGCTGTGTCTGTGAACTCGGTGATTTCGTCTGCCTTTTGAAATTCGAAGGAGTTACGCTTCGATTCAACAACTGTTTTCCACAGGGAGGGTGAGTTTTGCGAATGGCCCACCACGTACCGGTAGAACCTGAAAGTCCACCCAGGGACGCATCGAAATGTCCTACATGACTGACCGTCTTAATTTTATGTGAAGTTCATCCTCAGTTGATTAAGGACATTGAGTGCGGAGGATACGAAACAAGGAATGCTGTGCATGGCTTAAGGAGACACTGAGCATCTTTGCGGTTAATATGTACTTTCAATTATCATCTATCGTAACCAGCAAGTGTTCGCAATATTGCAAATATAGAAAAGCGAATTCTGCTGCTTCACCTGCTTAAACTGTTTTCAATGTGATTGTCATGAATTAGAAAGACTTTAGAATTAACAATTCGATTGCATGGGCTCCTGATTGCATGAGCTCCTGATTGCAGTCGACGATGAAGCTTGTTCCACTTTTACGGGTGTGATGAGTGTCTGATCTGCTCGCATATGGGACGCAGGGGTGCGGCAGCCTGACTAATCCTTTTAGGTCCGTTTAATATCCACGTCAGTCCAAAGTCCATGGAATCCGTATGGGAAGGCATATTTTGCAGGCAACTGTAACCGGGCCACAACAGGATTCTCGCTTCCGATGTTTCTCGCATCCAATATTACCAGGTAACAAACTTCCTCCTCTGCAGAATACTGCAAAGAGACAACTCCAGATCCTCAGGATGGTGAAAATGGCATCACAAAATATTGTTAGACGACGAAATATAATATACCTTCCACTGCATTTGGGACTAACCTGTACAACAATCAAGTAACCATCGTCTTCGACGAAGTCAGGGCTTCCAGGTGGTGCAGATCCTGCTCTTGGAATAAAGGTAGGTTCACCCACAAAATTCCTTGGTCCTGCCCACCATGATTGGATCTTTCCATCTGGAGCGTCACCACTAATTTTTAAAACCGTGTCAAATGGAAAGTAAGGTAGTGCTTTTCTGCGTCCTGAGGCGCCCACTAAATAAGTGTATTCATTCTTTGAGCCATACAATTCCGGATGGATGGCTGGAAATTCACATGCACATGTATTGTTCTCGAACTTCTCATATTTGGTTTCGATTTCATCGCCCTCAGTGGATAACAGGGTGGACACACGGATAAGTTGGACTGGATTCTTCATGCTGTGTGATGCACCTCCGTTCATTTTGTTCATCATTGTTGGGTCAAGCCATTTCTTCTGCCATTTATACCCTGCAACAGCCAGAGATGCCTCAGTCATCCACGAGACTTAGAAGAATTCATTAGGGGATAAAATTATTTTAAAAGCTGAAATGGAAAAATCGATTTGGTACATACCAAACATGTTACTTAGGGAAAACCAATCATAGGAGCATGCTGTTCCATCAAGAGTAATTCGGAGGTTTCCATGATCATCTGTTTCTTCAAAAGAGTTGGCAGTATGTACGAACCAAAGTCGCTCTGGGACCTTGACAGGGGTTCTCCAATTCCTCTTGGAACTGTTGGTGACGTTTATCTCCCTGGGCAGGAGATACATGGGTGTGTACGGGAGAGCGTCGTCCAAAGCTAGGCAGTTGATCATCGGTTGCATCCCAGCAACGGATTCTAAAAGATTTGCTGCAGAATGGCTCACAAAAGCAAGGAAGATTAATTTGTGCACAAACTTAGAAGAAATGAGAGCTTCACGGATGGAGCTTCCACATAGTAGAGACAGACGTAGTTTTCACTGATCCCACATCCACTAGTCATGTTCCTATGTGCATCTTTCGAAGGTAGATAAGTCAAATCATCGCATTCCAACAGAGAGAATTCTGGAAACAACGGAAGTCAAGTTACCTGGACTGTTGAGTTTGACTTTGTTTGCAAGCAGCACATAGTGGTTGTTTGTGAGACCCCAGTCGTGAATCATAAGCTGCTCATCTAGAGTGAAACTCTTTCTTTGGACAACTTGCATAGAAAGGTCCATCTCGTAAACTGTGAAAGTGCTTTTGGGAAGGACCATATCCTCGCGTCGACAAGTCATCACCACAAGTCTCTGCCTTTTGACGTCCATCTTAACATGAGAGAGCATCCGTTCTTTGGGCATTTCGAATACACCTGTACCAAGGACAGATGTCATTCCATAATTTCCTTCCTCACTATGTAAAAGTGAAGCTTGCAATCTCAAGAAGTATTTTGAATACTTTGAAGTTAAAAAAACTAGTGTAGCATCATCAGTGTTGATTGAAGTACCCTTAAGTACGGGTTGGATAAGCATTCCGACCAATTCTACTGCTGCTCTCTTTGCTGATCCAACAAGACCGTCGAGGTTGGTGCATGTGTCCTTTATGGCGCTCCATGTGTGCTTCCCAACGAAATTGGTATCCATATAACTCAACTCGCTTACACTGCAGCCAAGAAATCCGGGCTCAGAACGCAGTATACAAATATTTCATGGAAAACCAAACTATCAAATAAGTTCCTAAGTTGACGATGTTTCATGGTTTCAACATAAGGCAATCGTCATGGAGAAGTACGGACTGAAAGACCCAAAACATGTTGAAACAGCAACAACGATGCACTCTGGTCTAGGCAATCGACAAGCATTACTTGAAAAGGCCCAACGTCTGGAGTGTTTTTGAATCCATCTCGTAGGGATTTCCTCCCTCATACATACACATTAGTTTCCCAGCCCATTTCAGGACGCTGGTATTTGCCACGTTCTTCATAACCTTCACATTGCCAAATCGATCTCCGCCTCGCAGCTGTGAAAACGGACCACGGTACTGGAATCTCCATGTTTTGCTTTCGTCGTCATATTCCTCTTTTCTGGCTTCGCTATTAACGTATCTAAGATTATGTACATGAAGGGGAGACAGTAAGTATTCTGTCAGTGGTATTCAAATTGCGTATAACACAGGTAGTGAATGTCATCGAAGTTATGAATTATGTGCAAGACAAGCAAGGGAGTTGCAGCTTACTTTGCTGAATAGATGACTGGATTAGAGCCATCAATGACAAACTTTCGGAGGTAACCGTGGCCATCAAGAGGGTGCACTTGAGAACCATGATCATCTGTCCGAATTCCGGGACCGCACAAGTAGTAGACACCCGATAGTTGAGGTGGGATGCTCCCCTCTACCAAGGTAAGAGAAATGGAGTCCACCTCGTTGCGTTGGGATTTGTACAAAAACTGGTAGTCCCAAAAAGCGTCCTCTTCATCATTCCGTTGGATATCTCGAAACTTGGGAGTAAGGTCTGTTTCACTTAGTAGATCTCTCTCCACCAAGACCGATGATGCTTTCCAATGATCTGTAATCCAACCAACAAAGAAAAATGTTTCGTCAAACTCATCGTCACGTACCTATTGCATCCAGATAGACAAGTTCTGAACAGTACTGGGATCGGCGACATCCAAGTATCACAAACAATATGGTCGTTTTGGTCATCGAATGTGAGAGTTAGTCAAGTAACAGCACAGGATTGCCGAATGGTTCCCACATCCAACTTGTAACAGCTCTGGAAACGTCCAATCTTTCACAAGACACGATTACTGAATTCCGGGTCACTTGGAACTCTTCATGCACGGCAAAATCTGAGATGCGCAACCTCTTGATTACGCTGTTTTCATCCAGACTTTCATAGAAAGCGCACCATCATAAGTTGATCCACATACCAGTCAGTGCAGGTAGATCCATCGCTGGTGCAGCATTGGAGGTATCAGTTGTTAATGCGCTCCGAATACAGCGAGTAAGTTTATTATCATTAGGCGAGATCCTCCGGCAGTTGGCAGCTTGTTTCTTCTGAAACCTCCACGTCTTCGAAGCACTTCGTCGGCACAGACTGTGGTAAATGCTCGGCCTGAAGGATGCAGTGACAACGTCCATGGCTTTGAATCGATGTGTGGCAGCTAGGTGATATCATGAAAGTTGGCCAGACATAGTCACGTCATGTTCAATGCTTGCTCCCCGCTATCGAAGTATGTGAATAATAACAGTCCAAGGTCGGGTCTCAAAAGGCATGGACAGCCTCAAAGGTGGCAACGCCCGACTTTTAGAGCGGCAGACTGATAAACTTGGCTCAACTCACGATCAATGTTTCTGGAAGTAGGAAAAGAATCTGGCGAACAAATATAATATTTTTTGTATTAAATTGCAGGATGTTCGCATCTGGATATCATTGTAAGCAATTGACAGGTCGAGGGTCAAACCTAGTAATGCGTACCAGATGCTCGCCAAGCGCACAGCATATTTTTTGTTTCACTCTCCTCCTTTGACATTTTTTTTCTTTTCACGATCCGTTTCTGTTCTTTGTCTCATTTTAGGATGCAGACGGAATGACAGCCATAGTGAGACATTCTAGTAAAAACAGTTGTTAGAATTAACGTCCAAATTTCAGGGAAATTAAATTTAAAAAATCTGGAAACTTTGGATGGTGTAAACCGAAATCTTGCGTAATATCTGAAACTCCAGATTTTATTGATTTTTTTACTTTAAAAACATTCTGAGTCACCAAATGACTCCCTAAACCAATGCTCAGGAGCCGCCTATTTTGGACAGCTAAAACTCTATGCTTAGATTTGCATGATATCAAGTCATTCTGAAGTTGACGCATCTTCTCCGGAATCGGCATGTAGAAAAGTTATTCAATACAAATGAAGCAATCCCATAAGCTATCTCTCCTACATTTCTCCTGAATTAATGAATAATGAGCTGTTGGGTGTCCCTTGGCCTGCAAACGGATGACCCGCATGCTAACATTTCCCGTTTGTAATTCTACTTCGCCGAGTCTGGGTCTGCATGCAGACTAAGACGTGCATATCGCGACTCACTTACAAGAGTCGTTCACCCCACGCAACCGTTCGAAAATTAGAAGGATTTCTGAATAAAGCACAAATTGAGCTGCCTCTTTGGAAAACTCTCCGGGTGAGTTAGTGCGACTTCTGGACTTACTGAAGCACATCATATACTCTTACTGAAGCACATAATGGCTAGAGGATATGATGACTTGGTAAACAGAGTAATGACAATTTAGGGACGTGTCATGCGTCCTCCTACATTCCCTAATAATGGCGAGTAATCATTCTATTTTGTTTCTTCGGAGGACTGGTCTGCCTTTCTCCAGGTTTGCTTGCGCTAGCGATCGCCTAAAAAAGAGGTACCGAATCCTTTTGGCCGGTGGTTCCTGGTCCATTGACACAACTCCACATCAGTGGGCTACTAATCAGTCATAGCGAAGGATCCAGTCTGGTGCGGTCTGGACAGAACTCTGGAGCAAGTCGTTGGATCGGTGCACGAATGGATCACGCATGGTGAATGCAATTTCCCCTGAAGGATGCAGTGTTCTCCACCAGCGATTGATGCCGTGGGACCTGATAGCAAGGCATCCAGGGCGACTTGGATGAGCTAAAAAATAGATCCGAGGAGAAACATACACAATAGCACATCACCGAACCGTACTCTAGCCCATGTGTCGAATTTGCGAAATCTGCGCGTCGAAAAGTTCTTCATAATTGAAATTTAATCTGCAATGTCGCGTTCTCGAGCAGAACAGAAATTCCTATCCCGATGCTGGGCCTCAAATCCAGACCTCTGAATCTGCGGATCCTTCGGCTGCCTACAATTCAAGATGACCACTGTTAATCTCAGGCCGATTCCCCGGGTACAAGACGGATCTGTTAGCGATTTTGCTCGCCTCTTCACGAAACACCAACAGTAACTAGCATCTAAGGGGTACCACCCAAGGGTATGAAACTACCAACAAGCCCCGCATGCCCAGGTATGCTGTAGCGTCGCTCTGTAGTTTGCGTGCACTGCCAAACCGCCATTCTAACTGCCATGCGCTGAGTGTGCAAGGATTACCGCGGCAGTGTGACCATGCGGTCCAAGGGTTCAGGAATTCACTGCGTCTTCGATTGCCGTCGATCCGAAAAGAATGAGGCATAAATTCTCGTCCCCCAACCGACTAAAATTAGACCTCGGGCTCAGTGCGGCGGGGCCACATTCCAAAAACCATGCCCAGCGGTTCGTTCAACGTTGAGCCAGTCGATTACCATTCAGCGGACAGAGAATCTCAAGGTTTAGCCTTTTGATCTAGGCCTTCATGCAGCAGCAGCTGCAAAACATCAAGTGGGGTTGTAATGTGAGCGCGACAGCGAGATCAGCACAAGTGGGGGGAGACAAGCTCTTCACATCTTTACGACAGATGCAATGCACAGTCGTCTCTCTCCTCCTGAGCCCTGAGCCCCACTCTCATCCCGACCCTGGCTCTTCGGCCCGTCTTTCACCCTGTCTCTCGCCCTGCCTTCTCTCTATTGGGTGTCAAAAGGTGGGCGAAAGCGAGTTGGTTTCAGGGTCCCCCAGCTCCCCTACAAATTCACTACCACCAAAGGCTCTTTGCCCGATGTTTTCATCGTTTTTGCTACTCATGGCTGCTTGTCGTCCAGTAATTGTGAGAACGAATTGGATCCATACACACATACATGCACACACACCTTCAGATAGTTTCACTGTGGTTCTTTTGATATTTCTGTTTTACCAGAGATGTACCATGTCTCAGATGTATTAGTATTAACATTAAAAAAATTGTGAATGTTTACTGATGGTACCATAGATGTGCCGTGTCTCAAACGTTCTCTTAGTAGCATTGAATTTTTTAATAAAAAAGAAGAGAAACAGACAAGAATAATTCATATACTTAATTAAATAATTGAATATATATATATATTTAATCATTAATGCTACAAGTATATACATATATAAACATATACAAACATGCATACACATACAAACATTTTGAATCAATCATGTATTTGTAGCTTGATTATGTGGTTTAAAAATTTTTTTTGTTCATACAATAAGTTTAAAATAAACCTAAAATCTCTTGCTGATTTTAAAATAAGATATAATTATATCAATAAAATGATACGATTTTTCATCAAATAAATTAAATTCAATATTTTCTTGTCTTCCAATAATGAATAAATCAACATCTTTGAGTACATAGTGTTATAAATAAGGTCCAATTTGATTTATATGTATATATATATATATATATATATATATATAAACAATACAATTTACTTATATATATATATATATATATATATATATCAAATTGCTCCTTATTTAAGTAATATCAAATAAATATTAAAGTTAAAATTGTATTGTAAAAAAAATATTAATATTAAGTGGAAGTAGATAATAGTAAGAAACATATAATTCCAATGCATATTTTATACTCAATATATATATATTAAGAGGTTACAAACATGGCACTTTTGCAAAACCAAATAACTGTGATTCAACACTTGATATTTCCACAATCACCATTTAAACTTTATTAACTCTTGATACCCCCCCCCCCTCCCCCATTCAAACTTTATTATTCCCTGATATGGAGTCAAAGAGGGAAAAGAGCTGATGCAAGTGAGGTGGTTTTTGATATTCCCCTCTTTTGATATTTTAATTTCAAAATCACCTACCTTGCAAGGTGGGTGATTTGGTGAAGTATCAAGTGATATTTCAAACTATCATGGGATACTTTGAGCTTGTATCAGTGGTGAAATATCACCCCAAAAAATCCATGCTTGAAACCCTCTATTCTACATTAAATTTTACAAATGTATTATTAGCATTACTAAACTTATTTAATTAATTTTTTTGCATAAAACACATATGTGATTACTTATGTATATAGTTGTGCGATAATAAACAAAAATAATATCTTATATTATAATATTCATGTTAGTAAGAAAAGATCAATGGCATACCCATACTGGAAGCCCTTTCTTTTAAAAGTCACTGAGGAGAAATGTCCTATTAGTCAGACATTGTCCATGTGAAGCCAAGCTCAATAATGAGTCACACAGCCATCCATGTGATAGAATAGTCAACCTTATTCATTTACTTCACCAATGAAAGAGGAACTTACATCCAAACCTAAATTCAATAGCCATTAAATGATGCCTGAGCACTGAAAGAGGTTATGGTTAAAAAATGAAAAGCAAGAGAGGGCAATGAACCTGGAGAAAACACGAAAATACAAATGTGGGTTAGTTGAATACCTGACAAGACAAGACAAAACTGCAAAATTATTTGTAGATATGGGGGTTTGGACGGCTATCAGAACCATGTCCCTAACATATTCGTTGCTTGTGTACAAGCAAATCTTTACCCGGATTTTGTATGCCGAAGCCTTTAATGTGGGACAGTTTCACCGAAGAGGAGACAAGATGAGCTGATCGTATAGCCAGCTCCATACTGTCTTTGGCAGCACGGGGGCTCGGGATACCGGTCTGACACGAATGGTGGAGTACCCCGGACATGTGCCTGTTCTATCACTCCATGTTCCTGGAATCCGTCGCTGAAGATGTGGCTTATTGATTCCTGCTGGATTGGAAGATACTGGATTCCATGGTTCCGCGATTTCATCGTGGCACCAAAAATAGTTCTTAATTAAAGCATCCTGCATGCGTTTGTCCTGAAGGTGCTTCGTCGTGCTCCTCCGAATTGTCCTGAAAGATGCCGAGCTCCGGTGATCGCTAAATTCCAGGGGTGAAGGGGTCTTACTGCACTCTTGAAGAGCTCGAGCTAGTGCATCTTAGTCTGGCCCAGCGCACCCCCGAGGAGTAATGAATCTGACCTTCTCCGATTCGTATTCGTACTTCAATGTTTTTACTTTGATAGAGGACCCACAGTACTGACCACCTGACTATTGTAGGTGTTTTTGCACTTAGTTGGCAGGCTGTTAAACGAGCTGTCGACTTTGAATTGTCGACGTTTGGTTTTCATGGATGTTTGTGTGCATTGTGTAGACAACTGAAATTGTCGTCGTCGGAAAGAGCAACGCACAGCTTCAAATGACTTCTGCGATGTCACGACTTGCCCCACCGACTTGCTCGACTTATCAATCCATTACTGTGATCGATGATCTGCACCAAAGATCGACGCAACCTAGCACCCGATGGTTACAACCAGCCACGCGTCTGAAGAACCATGCCTTGGCGTCGCGCAGAAGAAGTAACCAAAGCATCCGTATGCCCACAATTTCGGCCAAATCCTCCCCGGACCGCGATCAGAGAACCAAAGCTATCGCGCAAACCGTCCAGAGTGAGTCAATTCCTGCAGGTGACTACTACCCAGGCTCAAATGCATGGCAGACTGTGAAGCAAGATGAGTGGCAGGGCGAGATGGAGGTGCAAGGAGAAATACCCTCATGGCTTGTAAGTGCTCCTTCCCAGTCACAAACTAAATACAATTGGTTTCGAAGACAGCATATTTTGACTAGTTTGTCGCAGGGCTGTCTTGCAAGGCCAACTCGCTCACATGCTATCTCTTGGATATCTTTCAGGATGGAACTTATCTCAGAAACGGACCAGGTTACTTCGAAGCCGGCGGAAAGGAATTCCCTCACCTTTTTGACGGGTTTGTGCCGTTTCACTCTCTATGTTTCCTGTCTCTCCATTTCTCTTCGGCCCTCTTATTCCTTTCACAAATATTTGACAATGTAGAGTTTTGTTGAAAGTATTAACAACTAGCCTTGAATGTACAGTTATTCCACTTTGATTCGCCTCAACTTCAACAACAGCAAGCTCATTGCTCACCATGCGCAACTCCAATCCGAAGCTTACAAAGCTGTCAAGTCCAGTGGCAAGGTCTCCTTCCGCGAGTTCGCAGTGACCCCGAAGCACAACAACGTATTCGAATGGATGGGTGAGGTCGCCGGGATTGCAATGGGAACCACTCTCACCGACAACGCCAACACCGGAGTAATCAAGTACGAATATCGATCTAACCCACCCAAAAGTATATTGCGGTTTGAAACCTTACGGCGAATGAAGAATCTAACCAAGCCGGGATCGTGCGAGATTGTGCAGATTGGGAGACGGTAGAGTGGTCTGTCTTACAGAAACTTGCAAGGGCTCGATTCAGATCAACCCAGACACCCTGGAAACCATCGGCCAATTCAAATACACGGATAACCTCGGAGTAAGCTCGCCCGAAGACTGCAGCAGTGATTTTCAACTCAGTCAAGCTACCTTTATCATCTTACTATCGCGTTACTAAAGACCTTGTTTCTCCCACAGTTAAACATTTTGAGGTTCTAGCATTAGTCATGTGGTTTTTGGTTGGCGATGTCTGTGGCAGGGCCTCATCCACGCGGCACATCCCTATGTGGACGAGAACGAGATGATCACCCTTCTCCCCGACTTGCTCAACCCCGGCTACACAGCGGTGCGGATGGTGGCTGGGACAAACGAGCGTGTTCCGATTGGACGGGTGAATTGCAACGGACCTCAACCTGGATGGGTTCACTCATTTGCTGTGACGGAGAATTACATCGTCGTTCCCGAGGGCCCACTTCGGTATTCCGTCCGGAATTTGCTCAAGGCTGAGGAAGCCGAGTATTTCAAGTTTGAATGGCTTCCGGAGTCGGGTGCATGGATACACATCATGGATCGATTCACTGGAAAGATTGTAAGACTTGAAAATCCTCGAAAATCTTGTGTAAAATTACGATTTACATAAATCTTTCAAGTGTAGGTAGAATCCTGGAATCCTTTAAGTGCGAAATCTATTGACTTTGATCGTCGAAACGTGTGCATGCAGGTTACATGCGTTGAAGTGCCGAACTTTGTGACGTTTCACTTCATTAACGGATACGAGGACGTTGACGAGAATGGCAAACCTCAAATTATAGTGGACTGTTGCGAACATCATGCAGACCCCGTCATTCTCAAGCGAATGAAGTTGAACGAGTTGCGGTCGTATCCAGGGAAAGTCCTGCCAGACGCGAGGTAACGCAGCACACTAATTGCCCCTCCAAACAATAGCACGATTGCACATACATGCTGTGTGCAGTTGTGATCGAACAAGTTCGTGATATACGTAAACAACAGGTAATCATCTGCAATGTTGTCCATGCTCACAGAGTTGGTCGTTTCACTATCCCACTTGATGGAAGCAAAACCGGGACGCTGACAGCTGCAGTCCCAATTGAAGAGCATGGAGCAGGACTTGACATGAACACCATTAATCCTGTCTACACGTCCAAGAAGTATCGTTACGTTTATGCTTGTGGTGCTTCACGACCCTGCAACTTTCCCAACACCCTCACCAAGGTGCACTAGACTAATTCAAAAAGTTCATTTCACTCTTGTTTTGCTAATTCTTGTTGTACAATCAGAAATCGCCCTCTGCACTTGTTTTATAAACCGACTGCGTTCTTCCAGATCGACTTGGAGACAAAGACAGCGAAGAATTGGTATCACCCAGGGGGGATTCCAACGGAGCCTTTCTTTGTTCCAAGGCCAGGAGCCACGGAAGAAGATGATGGTACCAGGCTTATTTCTTGATTCATTTATGCACGTGCTAGAGCTTCATGAATACCTGATGATATGTTTTGTTTTCGGAGAAAGGAACAGATCGGTCCTGGGAACAGACTACTGATTGCATCATAATCGTTGAATGCAGGAGTCCTCATCTCCCTTGTGAGTGACGACAGCGGTGGCGGCTTCATTCTAATCCTGAATGGATCCGACTTTACAGAGTTGGCTCGAGCTGATCTTCCTTATGGTTTACCATATGGCCTTCATGGATGTTGGGTTCCTGGACAATCTTCCAGACTGAGGATCTAGACCCTTCACACCATGAATATGCCCAAGGGCGTTCTTAGAAATGGTATCAATCAACACGAGATGCAATCAAAGGTGGAGCAATTGCATTGCTAGCGTAGATGCATCCAGTTAACAACTACAGATAACATGTAGGTAAGATATGTAAGTTAAGCAATAATGATATGTACTGATTCTCTAGCAATGTTAAATGGAATTCCCAAGCTTAACAATTTGTGCGGGGCCTCAATTCTAATCAGTTGAAAACTAGAATCGAATAGATTTCCTAGTATTCTAAGCTTGGTCTACAAAACTATAATCGATCCTCCCACATCCATGTTTACAAGGTAGCTTCAAGTAAAAGTAAATCAAGCATAATGTTCGTTTGGAATCAAGAAATTAAAAAAGGAGCGGTAATGCCCTTTGAATGGAGTCTTAGTTCCGTAGCGAGGGAGATCATCCATTTCTTGAAGCATAAAAGACCCTTGTTAGTTACCAACAACCTGCACCACCCTGATTCAGCAGTGTCCACAAAAGGATACTCTTTCACCAGGCTTGTACCAGAAGAAGCCATCGTTGTGAACTAGGCATGCAGCTAGGATACCCCTTTGTATACACAGCGTTACGAGAAAAAATTCCCTCAAAATTCCCGTTTTCTTAATCAGTATGGTGCGTCCTCCGAAGTATTCCAATCTTCGTCTACATAATAGTTTAAGAACGAAAACTAATGTAGAAGAATCGAAAGAGCACAGTCTGTACTGTTAAAAAGCGCAGCTCAAAACAACTCATGGGAAACATCGCATTTTCTCGTCACAGGATTGGTCGGTATCTATGTTGTATATTAAATAAAGAAATGCTCAGCCAATAGACATCATCACTGCATCTAGACTTGTGAGTTGATCTACTCAAACCCAACATAGTGTGAGTACTCAGAATACTGGCCCGACTGTAAGCCGATTGGGGCGCGCAAAAGTGCGTCAGGAATGCCAAATCCATCAACAAGAGATCCAGCTGCCCCTTTTAGTTCATAGCTCAAATATTCTACGAGTCGGTGAATGGCCTGAAAAGGACAAGAAAAGGATGGACGGAATTAAGAACTGAATCACAGTTCAATTTAATAAAGAAAGCACAGCGCAAAATAAGATGCAAAATTTCCAAATCAAAGCAAATAGAAAAAATGAGACTCATCGAACACTTTCAAGAGCAACGCAGTGTTCACGACCGTGAAAGAGTTCATGCATACCTTAGCCTTGTTCGGAGAAACATAATCTTGGTTACGGTACGTGCCAATGTCCTTCCAAATTCGGTCCAAAGCATACAAGTCACGCACCATGTTCAAAACTTTCCTAGTCTGCCTGTCCTCACACCTGAGAATAGGCAACAAAACTTATCTTAATTACCACAAATAGATAATTAAGGTATTCGTCATGGAAGTACAGCAGAAAAGATCTCAAAACCCTTGCGGAATGATGAGCATTTCCACCATAAATGGGGAGGAGCAAAACCTTTCAATTGCCTCATTGAATTTTGCAAGGATGACTGACTCAATGTGAGATTCCGCCAACGTGAGCAGGTGGTTAAGACACCGGTTCCAGGCCCCAAAGCTACCAAATCGTTTTGAGTGCTTCCTCAAACGCAGCGCCGCCGTGTGAAGCAACCTTGCAGTGCGATACTGCATTCAAAGAAAAATGTGATCGTAATGAGATGAACGAACATTACCGTCAAAAGTGGTGTAAACAATCCCCCAGTAAAACGACGAATCACATAGTGCACGCCTAAGGAGATCGAGAAACCAGACGTTACCTGAAAAGCATCCAGTTGAAACCGTGGGTCTCGTAAATGAGTGTAACCTTCTCGGTGTGTAGCCACAGGATTTGTCTGGGACAAGTTCGACATGGAATCCCTCAAGTATGTCCAGGTTACACTCAATGCTCCACCTGTAAATTTTCTTTTGTATTGTTTCAATAAATCACCTGCCACCTGAAAAAATTGAACGCCACAACTATCATTTGAAGTAAAGAAATTCTTGGTTTTAAGTGTTACTTTGAGTTAACAAATTAAAAATTTCATAAAATAGATGAGGAGCAAGCCTATCGAAACCCTCCTAAAAATATCCTTCAATTAACAACTAGCGCTTGATGTGCTTATAGAACGAGATAGTTTAGGAGAGCGTGACAATAACCCTGGCGCACCTGTTGTAGAAGGACTGTATTGTCACCTTCGAATGTTTGAAAAATATCGTGATCATTCCTAAGTGTACCAAAGCGATTTACAGCTGCATAACCGTGTCCACCGCAGGACTCTCGACAAGTATTCAATGCCTTTGCAGTGTAGGATGTAATATATGCTTTAAGTCCCGCGGATAGAGCGTGGACATCAGCGATTATCTCGTCATCGTGCGTTTTCTTCATTTCAGCATATCGCGCGACCTAAAAAGGTGGTGGAGACTCATGTTGTTAGAATACTTGTCTTGATGAGAGAAAAGAGAAATCAGTCGCATTAGTTGAGAACCAGTTGACCAGCTACCAGGTGCATAGTATTCCAAATGAACTGCCTTGGATTCAAAAACTACGCAGATCCACATTGAGAATCAAGAGAGAGACAACTTCAAGAGACAGTGCAAAAGACCACCTTGGGAAAAGTAGAAAACATCTAATAACCAACCATCATTGCCAATCTCTAACTCATTATACTGCAAATTTCATACAAATACACGCGGAGTCTGATTTTCGGTCGTAGTTACTTCATGTCTTATCATAGTTCAATAGAGTTCTATGACAATGCGACAAAGAACATTTCAACTTACAAGGTACTCTGTAGCGAAGTGAAATGCATATGCTGAAGAAAGCATGGGCATCAGTTTCTGTTGTTGTGATTGATAATCCAGAATGCTGACTTCTTCCTTGTTCGGAGGCCCAAACTGTTGCCGTAGCAACGAATACCTGTACCCATAGAAACTTCCAGTCAACAACTTTAAGTTGGCTGGACGCCATAATACTAAGACCTTGACCAAAGAATGCCAAGTTTCCTTGACACCCATATAAACAAACATCTTTCCATCGGTTACATCATTCCTACGGCTAGGAGTAAATAGAAGGTAACGAACCAGCAGCCTTACGTTCACAAAACACTTGCTAAACCGTCACATCAGACTAATGAATAATTTCAGAAATGGCTTCTCGCCGAGAAGCACGCATAGCGTCCATTGCAACAATTTTAGTTGCAATTCGATGCTATACCTGATAGCAACTGTGGATGCAGCCTTCAGCACTCCGACAGAACCATACGCTAAACCCACCCTTCCACCAACAAGCTCTCCCAACGTTGCCGCGAACCGTTTGTTGATAGTCGGGAGTTTGCTAGTGTACCCTCCATCTCTAGATACATCTCCGAATCGATTCAGAAGGTTATCTCTAGGAATACGAACATTGCGAAACCTTAGCGCTCCGTTATCTACCCCATTTAACCCGACTTTGTAACCGCAGTCTCGTATCTCAATTCCAGGCAGCACTGAATGGTCTTCCATTGACCGTATGGGTACAATGAAAGCATGAACACCCATGTCTGTGTCCAGATGAGAATCAGGACAAGGCAGCTTCAGTCGCGCAAAAACTGACGCAAACTTCCCATGAACGGCAGCGTTACCTATCCACCATTTCGTTGCTCCATCGTTTGGAGTGTTGATAACAAATTCATCAGTCATGCGATCGAATGTAGCAGTTGTCTGAATGCCTTGCACATTGGAACCTGGAAGGAGCAACGCTTCTGGTTACGTCAAAATGGAGCTCAAACCAAAATATTTACAGGTAAATTAATACTGTCTAAAATTAATCAATGTGGTAAAAATCAATCATTTTTTGCAGAAACCTGTATTCAACTACAAGTCTCCTGCAATTCTCACTAATTTGAAACGAAGTCATTCATGTCTTCTTTTCTTCCAGTGAGGAATTTTCTACTGACACGTACCATGATGAAGTTCAGTCATGGCAAAACACCCAGGAAATTTCAAATTGGAAATGCCCTCCAAATACTTGTCTCGATGCTTTTGCGTTCCTAAATTAACGACGGAGCCTCCCCACAAACTGAAAAACATTCACATATGTAGAAACTATCAGCCTCTGCTGCAGCTGGATGGAACTGCTCAGGTCCAAATCTCGTAATATTATTTACGTCATCAGGAAATGCTTCAAAAGAATCATTAGATCACCTGAACTGAACTCCCAGCTTAACCCCTAAAGATACGTCAATGAAACCAATTGCCTCCGTAATTGTGAAGTAGCGCGCTGGATCCTCCATCAATAACTTCATGGGATGAATACTTGCTTCATTGACAAGAGCTTTCAGTTGCTTAAACGCAAGCTCCCGATGCTCAGCTTTAGCTATCTCAACAGGAGTCTCCAAGTCTGGACGGCTGATAAAGAAATCAAAAATCTTCTGCCTGTCAGCTGGATAGCCACCTGCACAAGACCATAATACTTTGAGAATTCTGCAGTCTCATAATCACCACTCCAATCATTAGGTCTCAACCCAGGGTTAAGACTACATCTCAAAGATATTGGTATCATTGGACTAGGATCTACAATGTCAGTTGGAAATACACACTGAAGAACCAAAAGCACCACGAAAATCTTGTGATAAAGGAAAGATTAGCACTGCATGTGATTGATGTAGAGATACAACCAAACTAATATAAGATAGCATCTGAGGGTATACCTGCCATGAGATTGGCGAGAATTGTGGGATTTACAGACCGCTGAAAGGGTTTTGCACATACTTCCCGACTGACCTTTTCTTCCTTCGCAAGATTTGCTTCACAGAAATGCGATGCGAGCCTGTCCAGACGCCTTTGGGCCACCTCACTGGCAAGCAACCCACGCATCTCATCCATCTGTTTCTCCAGCTGTTTTGCCGTCTCCTCAAATCAATCGTAGTAGTCCTGTGATGTATTCATAAGACAACCTTTGAATCCCATATAAGATGTACTCGACCCTACTTTGTAAAAAAGCTGGACGAAAATAATGGACTGGACTTGATTTCACTATTACAGTTTATCACGTTTCAAATTTCAATGGCATCGATCGAACGAGACTTTTGGTGAGCCTGTCTCCAACGTACATGCGTCAGTAAGTAGTCAAAGAGGAAAGAAGGAGCAAATTTAGAAGTAAAATAAAAAAAACACATGAACAAACCTATACATGACACATCCATTGCGAAAAGTAACGAAACAGCCAGTTTGATATTCCCATTAATGCAAGTAACATGACAAAGTAATATTATTGACGCAAGTTTGTCTCAAACATCGTGTCGTCCAATATTCACAATACTGACGGAATGGTTCCAATGACACTTCCAACCGGAAAAATCTACATAAATACTTGAATGAGAGGACTTTGCCTTGCTAATAAATACAGAAACCTAAAACAAAGGATAGCATCAAGAAAAAGGCGCTGCAAGATTGAACCACATCTAGAGGTGCACCCGATGCGGTATAAAAAGAGAAAACAACAACTTCCCCACGCGCAATGTGCAATGACATAGCGATGACATTCTTACTGAAAATGTTGGTTTAGTTGATAAATTTTCCTCAAGGACGGATCGCACAAATCATCTTTTACGAACTCACTACTGGAGGAATGCATAGAAATTACTCTTCCTTCAGAGTTGTAAGGAACTATGGGTTCACAATTGCGCTGCGGCCACGATCAACTCTACCAAACAACCTACAACGAAGCTCGCCGATCACAACTCTTATTATGGGCAAACAGCAAGCGCAAAGTATACACAAGCTGAAAGCTTGATCCAAAAGGAACATGTATGCAATTTCAAAAACTCCTAGTGAGCATTTGAAGATGTTCTTCAACAAAATATTGCACTGTTCATTCAAATTTAGAAACTACCTTGCACAGATTGTCAGGTTGACTCAAGCCGCCGCCGCCGTCACTGTGGAAGCGAGGACCCGATCGAAGACGAGAGCAACACCACAGACAGCAAGCATCTTTCCGCTGTAATCTGCAAAGAATGAACGCTAGTTGCAGGAAACGGTGGGACGTCTTCCGGAAGATATCTTCAATGAATCTTAACAGAAACCTACTTTACCACCGCAAACTCTTGATAACGATCCGCCGATTGTGTTGTGATAAGTATGCGAGCCGAAAAACTTGCAAACTATCATCCACTTTCTTATTCGAAAATATGAGCAAGTAGCGCACACAGACATTATAAAATAAATTGAAAAAGAACAACTACTTCTCGGATTTCTAGTTCCGGCTTGATATGTCATGTTGGCTCCGTTTCTCCCGGCGTAGATGAGAATTTTCAAGATCAAATTCTGCATGTCCAACTCGCGATGAAACACGGGAAGGATCCAACTCTTGCACTTCTTGCACAGAGAGACAAGCTTCTTCAAAGACAGAACTCGAACAAACCATGCATTCCAATCTTTAAATAACACTCGGAAATTGACACAGATCCATAACGTTCACGAAAAGGCAACTCCTAATTTGAGTCGAAATCTGCGGAATACGAGGCTCCTGTTGCGCAACGACGAGGCGCGGTCCCCCCCCCCATTCAGCTTCCAAGTCCAACGATCGAACAACCCCCTACTCAAGGTCCCGCCTATGAAATACGACGGCGTCCTTTGGACGGAGGTGGACCCCAGTGACCTCAAACCGAGACTTGACAGCACGCCAGTAAGCGCTTTTCACATTAAAAATATTCCTCGCACCCAGCGGTGGATGACGTGGAGGGGGACCACAAACGGAAATAGGGCTACAATTACACCTGCCCCTTCATGCATCAGCGCCTTCCACAGTCTGGTCATCACTATTCTTACCGCCCCTTCAACATATATACATATATGGACAAATGAAAGTAAAATACAAAACCTCTGAAGGATCCATGAAAATATAATAACGAGAATAAGTATTTAATGAATAGTTTCAATTGGAAGCAACTTTGGGCATCATTCCCAGAACATAACTCTGAACATGGTCCAAGAGTTTCAACACCATGATGTGATGCTTGTGGCTACTATGGAGGATTCCCTTGTCCATTTGGGCTTGGTTTAGGGAAATGGTGCATGGGATTAATGAGAGCCATCATGGCTTATCCCTATCTCTCCACTCATGCTTCCTTCCACCTTGTCCCTCCTTCAGGTAGGGGTCTGGTCTTGATGGGGACCACCTTTTGCTTTTTTAAAAAAAGGAAAAGGTTTGCAAAGAATGGTGTGGTTCTCTAGGGTTTGACTATATGGCACGTTGTGTTGACTTTCCCCTCCCGATTCAGGTTTGACTGTACAAACAGTTGTATTGCACTTTCAATTTTAATTACTTTTTTTCTAAAAAGTGGAGCCTACTCACTTGAATTAGGCCTGTTTTCAATGAAGTTTTGCAAACAAGTTTCTAAAGTATTTGTCCATATTTAATTAGTCCAAATAACATCAATATTTTAGTGTGGAAATTACTCTATACTTCTACTTCAAAAATATTTTTTTCTTTAAATACATATATTGCAAACACAAATTTCTTAATAAAAACCAAATAGTGCAAAATCATTTAAAACAAAGAAGGATGAAATATGATTTTTTTTTTCTATATTTATATAAAAAAATCTTCTAAGGTTCCTATTTCTTAGGAGTAGAAGATAATTTATCAAGCAAAGATGTAATCTAGTCCCAAATTCTATGAGCTTGAGATCTCTTTCAAAAATTAAGTAAATTTTACATAATTTGTGAGACTTACAAAGTGAGCAATAAATTTCAATACTTAGGAAGGTTTTTTCTTGTTGTGTATTTACGACCATTTTTAGATATTTGATTAAGAAATAAAATATTTTCTTTTAAGTGTACAAGGTTTATTCCATACATTGTGCCATTTAAACAAGAAATTAAGATTTGACATAGAATTCTGCTTGGTGGTACTTAAGTTTTATTAAAAATAATCTTAGCATAACAAAGTCCTATCAAATGTTGTTGAATAGGTTATTAGTTTTTCTTCAATTAACTATGAATCTTGTTTAATTTCTACATATTAAGAAAATAAATAAATATTAGTAAAAATAGATAATTATTTTGTAAATTATATATTCCAATTTAAGCAATAATTTTGGATGGATAAATTCTATCTTGCATTGATATTGTTCAATGTCTTAAAAAATAATCATGAATCAAAGTTTAAAAGTAATCATCATAAGTATTAAATTTATACAATGGTCTTGCTTTATTCAATGGTAAAAGATAGAAGTGATCTTTAAATAGTTTTTTAATTCTTTGAAGATTATTGAATATAAGATTTTTTAAAAAAAATTCCATGTAAAAATTAATAAGAAATAAATTCTAGATTCCACCTAAAGAATTAATTCTATACATCTATTAAGTATAAAAAATATTTGATAATTTTTTTTATTATTTAAAAATAAATTAAATTCTTTTCATGCTTAAAATTAGCTTCTAAGAAAAAAAAAGATTTAAAGAGACTCCAAATTTTTTATTTTTATTTTTAGTGAATATCTTTTTAAAATAAAAAAAAAATATCACAAGTCATTTTAACCATATTTTCATTACTATCGACAATAAGTAGAATATTTCTAGAAAAAATATCTAATATTTCAAATTGCATCTGAATTCTTTCTTAAAATTTATTAGAAGCATATTTATCAATTAAAATAATAAAGTTTCTTAGAATTTTTTTAAAAGTAATTTAAAGGACTTTAATATCTATTAAGTGTAAAAAGAAGTAATAGTGATGAAATAGAAAAGAATCTAAATTAAATAATTATAAATGACAATATATATATATATATATATATATATCCATGAGAATCTATCCATGTAAAAGTCATAGATAGTTGTCTTTTGTCCTTAGAGATGTTATCCATGAAATTATTCTTAAAGACGTAGCAACAAATGGTCCTAAGAGTTTAGTAATATTTAATGTTATTAAATCTTTGTATAATCTAGTCATAATAAATTTATTATGGCTAAAAAAATATAATCCTTGGATGGATTAGATATCTTATAATCTTAATTTTTTCATTAATATAACCAAAATTTTTGCTGACTAAGAAAAAAGTCATCAGTCTAATATAATCAAATTTTTATTTGTAGGTGCAAGAGCTTTTATACATATTATAAAAATAAATAAATAAATAAATAAATAAAATCATCTTTTATAATTTATGTCACTTTTTTTTAATAATAAAAAAAAATTAAGAAATATTTTAAGATAATATAAAGATTAGTATTTTATTTTTAGAAAAAAATTTTAGATATTTTTATTAAGTATGGTTCTTATGATTTTTTAATTTAGCTTAAGAGAAGGATCTCAACTACCACTTGGATCAATCTACAACTTATCACAAAATTAATTAATTTCACTCAAAGAATATGTAATAGGATATAGATAAGATAATTGTATAGATAATTAGAACCAAAGAAGTTTCTAAAATTAGAATTAGGCTAGTAGACTAGATAGAATCCACCATAGAACATTCTAAAAAGAGTTTAAGGTGGTTATTTAGATGGGGCCTATTATAGAACTTTCTAAAAAAGCTTAGGATAATTGTCTAAGTACGGCCTATTATAGAATCTTCTAAAAAGAGATTTAAGGTGGTTATTTAGATCGGATTTATTACCTAAAAACATTCTAGAAAGTCGAGAGTGGTAGGACAAGGTATAAATAGGATTGGCCAAGGCCTTATCAGATCAGGTATGACTTTGGATCCTTTTTCTTAGTAAAATTTGATTTTGAATCTTTTTGTTTAGTTTAGTTCTTTTCTCTTTTGTTTTTATTTACTCACTTTTGTCTTTTGTGTCTAATTTTGTTTAATTCTGTTTAATTTTGTTTTCATCTATTTTGTCTTATTTTGAGATGAGGCTTTATATTGCTATGGATTAGAAGGATCTTGGATTTTGAGATAGTCTGGTTCTGTTTCATTGGTATCAAAGCAAGTATTAGATTGTTTTCTTTTGGTAGTGTGTTGATAGTCACCATCTAATCTAAGGTCAATCTTTGTGGTTATACTAGGTATTGATTTGAGGCTACCACAAGCTACTCTTAAAAAGTCAATCAGGAAGTGAAAAGACATTACAATAGTAGAGTCCAGTGGAGAAATCATAGTATAGGAGATATGGTAGAGGAATCCCAGATGGAAGCTCAAATACAACTCTTCTTATGCTAGATAGCTACTTTATAAGGACAAATAGAAGTCTTGAGGATAAGAGAGTTAAAATCTATTAGATTGAAATTGAGTAAGTCTAGTACATACTCTAAAACTTCAAGACAAGAAGGTGTATGTCAGTGGCTCTTCAATATACAACAATACCTCCAACTATCAGGGCCAAATACTACTGAAAGAATTATATATATAGCCAACTATTTGAAAGGTGCAGTGTCGTAATATGTAAAGTCTTGCTCAAGAATGTTCCATGCACCTGGCTGTGGAAGGTAGAACGGAAATTGCAACAATAAAATCTTAATTCTAATAGAATATTAACAATGCTAAATAAGCTTTAATCAAATTCAAAGAAATTCCAAAAGAATTCCAAAGAAACAATAAGAAATCTTAAAGAAATATTAAAATGATTACAAACATATCTCAAATACATCTCAATTCAATCTTAATTTAATCCTAGTTGAAATCTTATTAGATTTCATTCAAACTTTATGCCAAAAACTAACTAAATTTTAAATCCTAAACAAACTCAAATAAAACCCTAAATCCTAAATCAAATCTTGATTAAATCCTAACTAAACCTTAAATTCTAAATCAAATACTAAACCCTAAATTAAATCTTGATCAAATCCTAACCAAACCTTAAACCTTAAATCAAATTCTAACCAAATCCTAAATCTTAAACCAAACCCTAATCCTAAATCAAACCTAAACCAAATCCTAATCAAATTCTAATCCTAAATCAAATCTTAATCAAATCCTAATCCTAATCCTAAATCCTAAACCAAACTCTAATCGAATCCTAATCCTAAATCAAATCCTAACTAAACTCTAACCCTAAATTAAATCCTAACCAATCCTAAATCAAATCCTAAAACTTAAACTAAATCCTAATCCTAAATCAAATCCTAACCAAATCCTAAATCCTAAAGCAAATCTTAACCAAATCTTAAATCCTAAATCCTAAATCAAATCCTAATCCTAAATCAAATCCTAATCAAATTCTAATCAAATCTTAATCCTAGATAAAATTCTAACCAAATCCTAATCCTAATCCTAAATCCTAAACCAAATCCTAACCCTAAATCAAATCCTAATCCTAGTAATTTCTACAATAGATTTAAATCTCAATAACTAATGAATGAACCGTTGATCTTAATACAAATTTTACAAACTTCTTAAAAACTAAGTTGAAAATAAGCACAAATTTTTTGAAAAAGATCGAAATTATCAAATAGACGATAACCTCAAGAACATGTTTGGGTATTTTCTGGCCTCCTTCTCCAACCTTGATGCTAATCTCCTAAAGCCAATATCTCTCTTTTTCTCCATTCAATTGATCTCAAAATTCTTATACACATAGAAAAATAAGTCTAATATCCTCTCACATAAATTTCACTCCAATCG